AAAAGCTGGGAAACTGCCAGTAATCTGGTCAGGACAAGGGGATGGGGCCAGAGGAAGCCATGTGAACATCTGAGGCACCCGGGAATGCCAGGCTGGGACTCCAGGTGTATCAGCTTGGCCCACATGGCTGATGCCATGGGCCAGTCCTCCCCAACTCTTCCAAGCAGAGCAGGGCAACAAGTTTGCTAGCTAAACTCTTGATTACGTAAAATTGATTACATAAAACCAGCCAGCCAGACTGGCTTTGTAATACAGGAGACCACTATTTTGTAATATAAAAGATGAGACAGGCGATGTGGTGTTCTGGTTAGACTATTTAACTGGGGCTCAGGAGATCTAGGTTCAAGTCCCACTCAGCTATTCAACTCAGTGAGAGTTTGGGTCAGGCATAAAACTCTCAGCCTAAACTATCTCACAGGGCTGTTGTGAAGATAAAGTGGAGAGGACAACCTTGTAAGCTGCCTTGGGTTCCTTGGAAGAGGGAGAAAGTTGAGGTATTAATGTGATGACGACGTCGATGGCAATGATGATGATGTCAATACCCACAGACACAAGTTAAGTTAGAATAACGGCTATTAGGGAAATGCAGCTTAATGTGGATTCGGAACCAAACTACATATCTCCCCTTCCTGCAAAACCAAAGGGGATCTCTCCCCTTTCAGGGTGGTCTGTGCTGCTTATGAGCCAATTACTGAGAACACCTGACACTTCCCAAGCACACAGCCCTTGTTCCTTGAGGCCGTACAAAAGAAGCAATGCTCAATCTACCACCATCTCTGGATGCTTAACCACATTTCACAGATTTGAAACTGCCCGGTTCTCCCCAGCTACTTGTCTTACCTCCAGGTTGCTTGGCCTTGTCATTTCAGGTAAGCATTTCAATCCCACCTCTTTTTCTAGTTCTGATTCTGATTCCGAGGCAAGAATCATAGAAGGCTGCATAGTATGAGAAGAGGGCCCAATCTCTATAGCTGAGGTTATCCACACCTGAACACTGAATGAAATGGGGAAACTCTTGCTTGCTTGGTGCTCTGCACCCCCATCCAGCTCGCTGGTGCCTTACATCGTGATCGTTTATCTATTCATTTGTAGAATGTTCCATAGCCGAAGCTCTCTGGGCATTTCACAACAGTCCATGAAATGCAACAACAAAATATAAAGATACAAATAACAGTACAGCATTATTTTAAAGCATTCTAAAAAAAAAAAAAAAAAGAGTAAAAGACAGATTTTAAACCAAATCTAAATAAATGAAATATGTAGCACGACTTGAAACATAAAGACCTGTTAGAAAGCTGACACAATGCCCCAATTTACTATTTGGGCTGATTACATGCCTGCCAAAGAGGAACATCTTAAGATCGTCCAGTATTAGCAGAAGAATTACGGAGTTACAGTATGCATGCTGCTGCTGAGCACTTAAATGCCCAAGATGTGGGTGATTAGATACGGCCAGCATTTGAAAGTTATACCCGAAACAGGTAGTTAAGCTGCAAGGATCACAAACTAGGGAATTACTGGAAGAAAAAACACTGGTAAGTGTAACAAACACCTACCCATTTTGAGAGCTGCACCATGCGGCGTTGAAACGCTTGGGACTGAATCTGTTTCCTTTGCTACTCCTGTTCTTATAAACATGATGGAAAGAAGCCAAGTTTGCAACATTTGGAGCTATTTAGCATTTAAAATGGGGGCACAGTGTGCAGAATCATGCATGGCATGGAGAAAGGGGGTAAGGAGGGGCTTATAGAACTTTTTCATAGCACCAGAATTCCAGGTTAGGAAACTGCGTGGTGAGAAGTTCAGGATAAACAGAATGGGATGCCATCAAAATCCCTTCCTTTTGATGTGGCAATGGCCACTGTGGGGACAGAATGGAGGCTTAGATAGGCTGCTGACCTGATCCAGCAAGACTCTACTTAGCTTCTTAAATACTGAACTCTGAAAGGTTTGACAAATGACTATAATTATCCCACCGATGTGACCTAGTGCTTGGACTGAATACGTATAATTCCGGTCTCACCTTGACGGTCAAATCACTGGTGAGTTCAGCCAAGTTTGTGCATCTCCTTTTTCATCACCCATGTGTGAAATAGGATAATGATAGTAGACTGTGGTGAAGATGAATGGAATATGGAAGCCATAGCTCTTTGAACGTTAAGTAGGAAACGAGAACATTTAATCCCTTGACTCACTATGGATAGTAACTCACACACCGGCACTACAGATATTAAAAAATTCGAATAATAGAATAGTAGAGTTGAAAAGTACCAAGAAGGCCATCAGAGAATTTCAGGACACCAGTTTACACCATCCTCCTCAGATGACTGTGCAGTTTCTTTCTGAATGGTTCCAGCGTGGGAGAACCCACAAGCTCTCTAGGAAACTGAATCCACTGTCGTCTTGCTCTGGCAGTGAGGAAACTTTTCCTGATGGCCAGCCTGAACCTGGGTTGTCACAACTTGAGCTGATTATTCCATGTCCTATACCCTAGTATCAGCAAGATGAGATCTTGATCTTCCTCTTTGTGACAGCCTCTGAGGTACTTACAGAGGGATCTCATGTCCCCCCTCAATATCTCCTTCTCTTCACTGAACATGCCCAGTTCTCTCAGTCTCTCCTCATAGGGCAGCATTTTCAAACCCTGGATCATTTCTGTTGCCCTCCTCTGCACCCTTTCTAATTTACTTGCATCTTTCTTCAATCTTGGTGTCCAGAACTGGACACAGTACTCCAGGTGAAATCTGACTAGTGAAGAGTATAGAGAAACTACTACTTCTTCTGATTTGGAAGTAATCATGGTAATCCTGGTACTCTTCCAAGGCTTATCTTATACTTTACAAAAGTTTGCCATGGAAAGCATTTTCAAGAATCATTATATTTCCCACATGAAAATCACAGGAACATGGGACACTGGGTTATACACAGGAGGCCTACTGATCCAACTAGGTCAGTATTGTCAGAAGTCCAGGTTTCCAGGTTCAGACCCAAGACCTTCTACATGTAAAGCTTGTGAACATATGAAAAAGCCAAGCTGGACCAGAGCCATGGTCCGTTCAGTCCAGTAATTCCACTGTCGATAGCAACCTTCAATGAGGATGCGTGTAGGACCTCTACCTGCCAAAGCTCCTCAGAGACTGGTGTATGCAAGCATGCCACCTCTGACAACTGAGGTAGCAACCAGCCAGCAAAACTAGGAGCCACTGATATCTTCCTCCTCCGTGCATTTGTCCAACCCTTTGACAGCTGTCCAAATTGGTGGCCATCACTACTTCCTGTGGCTACCACCCTTACCATATGACCAGAGAATCAGGAGACTTCCTAATGCCTGCCCACCACAGAAACTCCTTTCAGTTTCTCAACAGAGATCCTGCCTGGCAGTCATCAGAGTAAGATCCAACCAGCTCAAATGGAGAGGGGACTCTCAAACGGAGACTCCATCTCCAGGTCAAACCATCAGACAGCACATGTTGGGAATGGCGCTACTGCTGCTCTGAGCAACTCACATGGAGCTCAAAGGATGGACAGCCTGGTGTGGTATAAGGCACTTTTTATCTTATTCAGGCCATGCAATAAAGACACTTTAGATTAAAGCTCCAAACCATTCTTAGCACCTTAAAATTGGCTTCTGAAGTCAACTGAAAGATTACAAAATAAAGAATGGGTTTGTATATGCACTGGCACCCCCCCCCCCCCCCACAATGTATACCCTTTAACCCCCTTGAGGTTTCCGCAGGAGGACCTGGTCTGCCCAAGGCTTCCACAGCTGCTCTGCACATGATGCGGCTAATCATGTGTCCCAGATTGGGTCACTAATGTCTGTTTGTTCTGCGATCGGCACCTGATATTCCCATCGCTGGTTGCACTTTCTCCAAAGCACGGGGCTGATGTCCATTTCTCAATCAGCAGAGGCGAGTTAAAAAGCAATAAGCATGATGGCTGACACTTTCCCATTAATGCACAAGATGTACACAGAGATAGATCATGGGAGCACAGCTGCCAAAACATTGCAGAGCTGCCCATGGGGGCAGCAAACAGCACGAGAAATAATATTGTTCATTACATTTTAGCCCTTTCTGCAGTCTGAGGATGACCACATTGCCTTAAAATGGATTCAGCGGCAACCCACTAAAACATAAATAAGATCAGCTATTAAAATACACAGAGATGTAATGTGTTTGTTCCCAAGGGACACACTGCTGGCTAAAGACCAGCTTCCTCACTCCTTCCTGACATGCCCCCGCTCTGTGGCCAGAATAGGACGCTAAATCGGGTACCCTCTCATCCAGACTCTGCTAAATGCCAGAACAAGCAGCAGGCACTTCTCTGCCGTTCCCATTCCTTGCATAAGGGCTCACCCCATGCCTGTGGGTCAAGACCAGTGAGATGTCCACTGCTCTTAACGACTGCCAACAGAGGGCACCAGACTCATTTTTCTCACTACGATCTCGTGGAACAAACGTGCCATGTGAGTTCTCCAGGGGTTTCATGCTTTCCCCACCTATAGCTGCCTTCTAAACCATAAGCGTGGCCCTTTATATGTGCAACCCCCACCCCTTGCCTTGCATTGTTGCTCAGCCCTTCCTGCAAAACCTCTTGGCTGCAAACCCCTCAAAACAGGAAATTTTCCTTTGCTCTTTAAAGAAACAGGCACGCTGATATTTTGTTTTTATAATTTGAGGTGACTGTAGACCAATAAAGCCCGATACTGTACATCCATGCTTCCCCTCCTCCTTTAACAAACAAAGTTTTATTAAAGAAAATATTGAATTGTGAGCCAAGAGTCTCTCTGAGATGCTTCCATGGGGCTCCATTGATACTAGCCACTTGTCTCACGTAAACGCAAGCAGTGAAACCAAAGCAGAAACAGATTATTATTATTATTATTATTATTATTATTATTATTATTATTATTATTATAACATTTCTATGCCGCCCCTTGCCGAAACCTCGGGGCGGCTTACAACATGATATAAACAGATGTGACTGAGTCAGGCGGATGGGTTAACAAATGCTGATTATTTATTTGCAAAGTTCAACTTACATGTTATTTCTCCAGCGTATGCATGCAACAGATCAAACCCTGCTTCCAACTTTAATAATATATTAAAGCATGGCTGAACCCTTCCCAGAGGAATTGCAGGAGACATGGAAGTGGAAATTAGCCTATTACACATCACGCTGGGTGGGCAGGGAAATTTACCTGCATTTCCAGAAAAGAAGATGGGTGTCTGGGGTGGAAACTGGGACAGAAGGTCTTGCAACAGCACATCCTGCCAGCGGCTTTGATGGGAGTCTAATATGTTAAGGACATGGATGAGCCATTAAGTCAAGGAAGGGCTACAGCAGCTTCCTTTGGAATATACAACTCAGAGCCAATGAAACCACAACTGGATATTTACTTCCAGCTGAAAACCCGTAATCTGCAGGGTTCCAGAACTGCCAGAACCTCCAGCTTCCTCTCTCTTTCTCATTTTGCGTGCAAACAAGTGAACTGTGAGAGTGCTGAAGCAGATAATCACTCAACTCAACAAGGGGAAGCTTAGATGCTACATAGAACAGACTTCAAAGCTCACCTTGCATGGGACAATATCTATCAGTAAGCAGATGCTTTTTGGGGGGGGAGGGAGGGAGGGAAATGAACTACAGGGTGGGGCAATTTACACACCCTACACAGAGCCTGGATGGGCTGTTTTCTCAGCCAGGATGGCAAGAGTTCATAAACAAAAGAGCAAAGGTAATGCAGAACACTTGCCCATTTGGAGAGGCTATTGGCTGTTAAGACATGTGACCTGGATTAATAGATACTGTAGAACACTTTCTACTAATATTCACGGCTCAGAAAAAGCAAGGAGTAGGAGAAAGCTTGCCACCAAATGCCTGCCAACAAGCTGAAGAAAATGTTAAGTGTGTTCTCTGGCTATTTGGTTAATGCTCCGTGGAAGAGTAGATGTACATTCTGCAAGATCCGACGGGAGGAAACAGCAGGGATTTTCAAAAGTTAATACTTATGCCCTTAAATTTCATACTACCTTTGGAAGTTGGGCAACCTACCTACTACAGTCAAGAGCAACTGCAATTTTTTTTTTAAATCTAAGAAAAGTCCAAAAATGTAGCTATTTATAAACTGAAGGAAACAAAGCAAAAAGTTTCCCAGAATTGGCTTTTACGTGTGTTGTTTTCCATGGCTCAGGGGCCTTTGCTGTATTTCTTTTTTCTCCACAGTGGCACAAACTATTATTTCCTGGCAGGAGAAGGATATCCCTTCGCAGCTGCAGTAACAAGGGTGACGGGAGGAACTATCCCTTGCCAGTGGAAAGGGGAAGAGAAAACTGGAAATTCCTGTGTGTAAATGGAGGTGCACCATTTTGATTCTGCCTCACGAGGCTCAGAAACATCATGTGTAAATGGGTGCAGAGAACCGACCTAAAGGTGAGCATGAGAAAGATGTTTGTTGTGCAAACAGCCGTTCGTCCGACAAAAATACACATGTTCTTGTCTTCAACATCTGTAATACTCTTCTTTGGAATTAATGAAGCCAGTGCAAATTAACCTAACACACTCTGCATCTGAAATGGGATTTCAGTTTTCTGTCAGATTTTAAAAGAAACGTACCCCCCGCACCCAAGTACAATGAAAAGCAGGAATGCAAAATCAAAAAATGTGGTTTTGATGTCAACATTTAGTGTTCGTTAAAAGCTGCTAGTTGAAAGACAAGAATGCTAGCTGCTTAGGCTATTATGCCAAGCTATGTATAACTTAGACTGAAAACAAAAATCAAGGACAGGTGCTGCCTTCTAAGCAACTGCATTCTAACCAGGGATGGGGTTTTAGAGCACAGCCATGCTAAATTGGCACCGTGTGTGCTCTGACCAGTGTCAGGCTTACAGCTAAGCCTAAAGTAACCTGGGTTGCACTATGGTTACTTGAAATTCCCCTGCTTTGCAAACCATTCTCCATGTTTCTGTTAAGAGACACCTGGAGAGCAAGACCCAGTGCTCAAATCAAATAGTCCAGTTCAGTAGTTACTATCCCTGTCTAGTAAAGAGACAGAGGGGCAAAGTGCAAGAGGGAGTGATTCCCCCGCCCTGAAATTCTTTCTTTCCAGAATGCAAAAAGAAAACAGGGCCACAGAATACCAGTTTTATCGGAGAAACAATTCTTAAAACATCTCTGATGAATCCTGAGCATCCACTTATTCAACAGAACAGAAGCTGGGGCTATTAAAAAAAAAAACCTAGGAAAGTGGCAGCTGGATTTTTCAAAAGTGAGTGTGATGCCAATTCACTGTACCATCAAAAATATCAGTGACAAAGAAATAATCTGGAGCCTTGGTGGATAGATCAAATCATGTTTCTGCCAAATAAACATTATATCTGGCTGAGATTTCATTTAAAAGGCTTAGACAGAAATCGATCACAAATGTGATCCTCAGGAAGATTTAGGACCAGATTCAGGAAGGAGGAAAAGAGCATATTCTAAGGATGCATTTGCTACATTTTTGAAAGCATCTGCGATATCCTTAAAGGTCCGAGAGAGAATCACACAGTTGCTTTAAAATGGGTCACACTGGGTCACTAGGCCACACTGAAAATTTTTAATTAATATTCTGCAACTAGACAAACACTGGTAAACCAGCTACTCTTCAGTTTGAAGCCTACATCTTGAAAGCCCAGTGTTACATTTCAGCATCAATGAAAGTATCTTTGGGGGAAAAAGAGGAATGTTTCCTGGCAGACGATTTCGGAATGAAGAAGATCCAGTTCCTCAGGATACTCACATCTTATTAAACAAGCCAAAGCAGCTCGCCAGTTGCTACCAGTCAATAGTGGAAAACATCCGGATGCCCCTCACAGAAATGGAGCTCTCATACTGGAAAGCAACAGGCGGAGGTCAAGCGGAGAACCTCCCTGAGCGGGGAGCCTGGTACACTATTACACAGTGCATTTACAGCTTGGTCTGGATCTCTGGCTTCACAGCACGGATGTGAATGCTGGGCAGGCAGAACCACGAGAGGGGAAGCTCCTTGCTAGAGCTGTCTTCGTGGAATTTGATGTTCAAGTAGAAATCGCCTGTGTAGAGAAAGAGGAGGGCTCCCACGCACACTGAGTATTCTGTTGGTTTGACCTGAAAAACATGGGTGGGAATTGTTTTAGCAGCAGCTGCAGAAGAAGAAATGTGCTGCCATTTTGCCACAGCTCTATAGTTCCTTCCAAGCATTACAGATTTTTGTTTTAGTAGGAGGATAAGACGCACCTTTAGCAGGATCATGCAGCTTCTGCCCTCTGTGCAAATGGTCCCAAAACTGATTTCTGGTGTCTCTAGGTCTGCCTGGGAAAGGCTACTACCTCAATGCCCTCCTGCCCCTTCAGATCTGAGGCAGAGGTCCTTCTTCAGGAGTCCTCCTTGCTGGAGATTAGGAGAGTGAGTATGTGGAGAAGGGCCTTCTCTGAGGTGGCGCCCTGACTGTGGAACACGCTCCCCAGAGAGGTTCACCTGACACTAATGCTTTTTTCCTTTTGGCGCCAGGTGAAAACCTTTTAATTTCCCCACTATTTTGTCAATTGTCTTAATTTGTGGTTTATATTTATTACCAGATGCTGTGCTACTTATATCTCTTTATTCTATTTTATTAGTGTTCTTGTAAGCCGTCCTGAGACATCAGTGATGGGACGGTGTTCAAAAGTTCTAAATAAAATAAAATAAAATAAAATAAAATAAAATAAAATAAAATAAAATAAAATCTGAGACTCTGAAGGGCTGCTCTTGGTTAATGTAGCCTTTACATGATGTAGAGAATACTAAGTTTGAAGGACCAAAGATCCGACTTTATCAAGGCTTGCTTCCCATGTTTAAACAAATTTAAGATTCAACCCTATGTACGTTTAGACAGAAAAGAAATCCTACAACTCCAGTCTTGGCTGACTGGGGAATTCTGGAAGTCGCAAGACTTTTTTTCTGCCGAAGCATACACAGGGATATGCCCTGATAGCAATTAAACTAATGAACTTGCAAAGTAATCTATTTCCAGCCTTCATAATTTCTTAGTCCATAAATCTTGTTTCTTAAATTTCAGTGTGATTATTTACTTGGGCCAAACAGTTTGGGCCTGCAAAAAGCCAATTTGAGACAATGCAGAAATCAATGTTGGAGGAGTTTTCTAACTGGTAACTTGGATTATAAACCCCAGAATCCCTGGCAGGAAACTCCACATCTCCTCCTCAGCGGGAATAGTGCACAGAGAGTCCTTCTTTCATTAGGAACCTGGTCCCTGGTGGGAAAAGATGCTTTGCCAGGAGCTGGGACTGCTCAGGCGCCTTGGCTTCCCTTGCTCAAAGGTTTATTTTCAATGGTGGGGGGTGTTACAAGGCCTTCGTTTAGCATTTCAGAGCAACACTACAAACCCCCAACCCTTTCAAGCATCCACTCCTCACTGAAAGTGGCCCTTTGTTCTTAATTGCACATCTCAACATTATTACAGTGACTGGCCAAAGGCAGCCAAGGGAGTGTTAAGCAAGGTAAACGTGGTTGGTGGGCGAGATCGGGTTTTTGACTCTGCTACAACAAAGAGCAGCGGGAACACAGCTGATTTGCCAAGGAAGGCCCCAGTTAATTTTTCAGGGTCACCCAGCTGCAGCAGAAAGAAACCGAACGCAGGAGACTGGGAAATGCAGCCATCCCTGCCATTGCAGGTTGCCGAAGACACTCTAGAAAAGCAGCTCTCAAGCTTTCAGTCTAACAATTCTCTGACAAGGAGCTACGTTCAGATTTGATGACTCTGCAAGTCTCTTCCGACTCTGTGATGGAGTGCAAGACAGCTTTGTTCCAGAGCACAGTTAAAAAGCTACTCTGCAGTAAAAGTTAAGCATCGGCCTTCCAATTTCACTGTGATCAATTCAAGTCAGAGGACAGGTCGAAACATGGTAGAATTGTATAGTGCTGTCCTCAAGTCCTAGAAAATGCTTGCTTCGATTTCTATTGTGCCTTCGAAATTTACTGTGGTATGCATACCATGACAACTACAGGGCAACATCGCTGTAAGGAGAAAGAGCTGATAATTCCCCACCTTTCCCCATTCCCACTTGACCTTATGTGGATTGGTACCAGGCACCACCTCGAAGATGCTAGACCCCCCTCTCCCTGCCTTAGGATACGTTTTTTAAAGGGTTGGATCAGGATTTCTCTCTCTCTCTCTCTCAGCACAGGCAGTGAGATAACCAGTTAGGAAGTAGGTACTGGAAGCCCACCCTTGATGAAAAATACAGTGAATGCAGAATTCCCATGCATCTTCCACAGCAACAACCGGACAAACCTTCACAAAACAGCAGCAATGCTGCATTCTGCAAATGTTCAACATGGATCGGGCAGAATAATTGCAATCATACACTTACGGTATCGATATAAAAGGTGTTGGATCCAACAAAAGTGATGCCATCTTGGAGCTCATAGTTGTGGACGCCATTTTGGTAGTCTTGGTATGGGACCACCGTGAGAGAGAAGGGGCCTATGCTGCGCCTGCTCAGATTGGTCAGCTTCACTTCCAGTTTGACGGGGTCTCCAACTGTGCAGTCAGCCACAACATCACAGTCACAAAGCTTTCCCTCCACGGACACATCTGCAATGCAAAGACCGAAAAGACAGGATCACTGCTTTATGCTTTGCTTCCTAAACCATTCACAGCGCCAGAATTAACCACTTAGCAACTAGGACTTAACAGAACAGGACTACATTTACCCGGACAGTGGTGTGCATTCATGTGGGTATACATTTAGTTACTTACTTGAGGCGCAATCCAATGGCAATGCCCGTAACCATTCAGACTCATGGGCATCCCACGTGCAGTAGGAGAAGCGTGGAGCCAGAGGTCCCACTGAGCACCTCCTGCCCTGCAAAGCAGCCAGTTAGCTGATTTCAACTGCTCAACCGCTGCAGTTAGAAGCAACACCAGGTTGAAGGTGTGAGTCTCCTGCCCACCCCCTCAATTACTGCCTAAACCTGTTCTCCAAGGTCACTCCTGGGACCGCAGAGAGGCAGCCTGCCCGGTTCTTTCCACTGCGGCTGCACCGTGTGGTGGGCAGAGGGCTCTCCAGGCACGGAGGCCCAGCTCAAATGTCAAAGGTGTTTTTCAGTGCGGAGCTGGGTTTCTGGCGGCCTTCTGGCTGCCCCAGTACTTTTAAATTGCCTGATAACCAAAGTTCTCTGGTTGATATATACTGTATTAATCACACAGACTGCAAACATTACAACAAAACAAACATAAAAAGGGCAGAGTCAAACCATGATGAAAACAGAAGCAAAGCATAAAACCACTGTAACATCATGAAATAAAATTAAAACCAACAGCAGAATATGCATGTTTATATTGCTGTGAACAGTCCAGCAAGATTCAGCTTCTGAGCAGTACAGACATGAAATCCTCACCATCTCCGTAAAGTATTCATTTATTTATTATATTTATATTGTGCTCTATTATCCGTATTCCCATAAGGCTGACGTGATTGTGTTGCATGGTAGCTATATTGTATAGGTGAGATAGAAAACTACTGGGAGAAAAATTGACTAGGGTCTTTTAAGTGGATTTGTGTCTGAGATGAAAAACCTCAAAGGATCATCTTCTATGGATATGATTCTGCACTGTGGATGCCTGGTGAATGGGAAGTATAAGGAGTTTTCCAAAACTGCAGGCTTTTTGATAATGAATTTATCTGTCTGTACTGTGCAAACCTACAGGAGAAGCCAAAAAGAGGGGATTCCTTCTCCAAGCAGCTTAGACATAAATTACTGTTCAGTGGAGAAAGGTGTGGGGGATGGGAGAGAGACATACTTAGGTTTCATTGCTATTGTGGAATAAGGATTGGTGTGTGAGGATGCGTGTGAATGATGGAGTAGACTCAAGAGTCCTGAGAAATTTGAAGGAAGAGAGGGAAATAGGTGCCAGTAGCACCTCTAGGCTTTCTTTGTTCGTGTGCAATGCATCCTGAAATCTTTAAGAAGCAATGGAAAGAGACACACGTAAGGATGTAATTCCTGGAAGAAATCCTTTCCTGATCCATGCCTTGCTGCACGTTCTAAGAGATTCGGGGTGAGTATAAATGCCACGCCTAACAGTACTCAGGTAGAGCTGTGAAAATGTCGGTGCACCATCTGCTTTTATGACTAATACTGCATTGTTTTTCTTTAAAATATTTATAAGCCATCCTGCAGGAGAGCTTCCAGTACAGCTGACCAAAAGAAGCTGTAAATAAGCTGAAGTGCAATATTGTAAGAACACTAATGACAGTTAACAGACATGTAGCACTTTCAAAACACTTAACTTGCGTTACTGTTTGTAATCTTTACAACCACCTTGCAAGTTAAGTCAGTGTTAATGCCCTCCATAGTGCAGATGTGGAGGACTGAGGCTGAGAGAGAGACTGGCTGACCTTAGGCCACACAGAAATCATGGAGTTCTGGATGTGACCAGATTAAATGGGCCGAGAGAATTAAAAACATCCTTGCTTGGTGAGACAACACTGTTGGCGACAACAATGGAGCCAGCCAGAATTTGTTTCTACAGAACTGTAATAGACATTTGCAATAATCAATGCCTAGCTTTTCTAGAACAGCTGGCAATGGTCCTTGGTATTTTACCACTGCATTTTGTCTGACTGCTTTTTCATGGAGGCGAGCGCTTATTGGAAAGACCGGGGCTGCCTCCTTCTCCTTTGCACAGAGCTACCTGCAAGGTGAACTGACAGGCCACTCTCAAGGCTTTCACAAGTTGTAATCGCATCGCACCATGCCACCAGAGCAAAGGCGGGATGGAAAGAGGAAGGAGCATGACAGACGGGTCTGGGGTGGAGATTCCTGAGTAACAAAGGATCAATTGCTATTTCTAGAACCAGCACATTGGATGCCTACATGGATATTGGTCAAGGTGAGGAATAGGCTACCCAGGAGCAGAGCACGTCTTGTCAGAATCCACAAAGCAGCACATTCACTAATGCCCTGCAAGTGAGAGAAAGCGTATCTCTGAATGTTGCTGTGCTAATCAAAGCTTGCTTTTTAGTGCATTTTCAATCTGATCTTCATTTTTTAAAAACTCTTCAGGGTGAGTGGATGGTAGAAAAACAGAATGCTTCATATATGCTGCAATTGCTTGTCTTGCACTCATACTTAAGAGTGATAGTCTAATTAAACTATATGTGTCTTAAGAACTTAAGAGGAACCATTTAGTCCAGAACTCTGTTCACTCAGTGGCCAGCCAGCTGCTCACACCATCTGAGAAGCTGGGTATGAGTGAAAACAGTCTCCCGCTTGAGTTAGGTAGCAGCTAGGGGTTAGGGAAACTCATGTCTCTGATACTGGAGGATGGTATGGAATTGGCTTTATTCATTGCAGCTGCTCAATGGGCTGGCACTTTGTAAAAGTCTTGCTATTTGTTTTCAGAAAACAGAATGGAGGGAAAAAAGGAGTATACAAGAAGAAGAGAAAAAGAAGGAAAAAGGGTCGTTCTAAGGATTTAATAAGCCACTCCTCATATAAGCACATTTACAATAGACAAAGGTTTCCATCGACCACTCTCCAGTCCCACTCATTCAATTCTCAATCATATATTCACAGTTATAAATCTTAACATTGCTTTGGTATTGATGGTAATCACAGACATTTGCATAAATTATGTTTTCTTTAACCATTATTTAAATTGTTCAAAGGAAATCTTCCATCTTTGAGTAAATTCTTTGACCAATCTTCTGTTGACATAACTTGTTAGCTTTGTCATTGTTGCGTACTTGGCTAGCTTGTTTTTCCAATCGTCAACAGCTAAGCTATCTTCAGCTTTCCACTCTGAAGCAATTATCACTCTTGCCGCAGTAATCATTTATTTGTATAATTCTGACATAACCTTTGGAATAGTCTCTGGAACACTATTCAGTAATATATTCTTGGTATTTACTGGAAAGTAAAGTTTTGAGTATTTCCTAGATCTCAGCATGTGCCTGCTTCCAGAATTTTTAAATTCTATCACATGTCCACCACATATGATAAAATGTTCCATCTATCTCTTTGCACTTTCAAATTTTCCATTATAGCTCTTGTCCACTTTCCGTATATCTTTTCTGTATATCACTGGAAATACATCTCATATCAGTGTTCTCTTAGTGTTTGACATGTGATGATTTTATGTCCTTCACCTGTCCGATTTCCCACTGGCAAGCTGGTATTTCTTCTTGAAGATTCTCCTCTAGCTCTTCATTCATATTTTGTCTTGCTGAGTCTCAGTATCATATTTAAGCAATTGTTTATACATACATCCCAGGAGATGGTCAGATTGATTTTTATTTATGATTTCAAAGTCAGTCATATTTCTTATTATGCCCTTTCCAGTTTAAATTTCCTTTCTTAATTTTGAGGCCAGCTGATGATAAAGAAGCAATTCTGTTTTTTGCTTCATCTTTAATTCTTGCCATGCTGTAATTTGCCTTCATTGAACAACCATGTCTCCGTATGCTGTAAGATTGTTGTTCTTTCTAGAATGTTTTCCACAGTATGCTTCTATTAGGAGTGGGTTGTCGCTTTCATTGAACTGTCTACTACAACCCCAAGATCTCCTTCTCTGCCATCAACTTATATTTGGAATTGGGATCTATTTTTATTTGTATTGCCCCAACGTGCATTACTTCAAATTTGCTTACATGGAATCATATTTTCATTTTTATGCTCTACTGGCAGCATTCTGATGCCCTAGTGTCAGCATTCTCAGCAATGAGCTCTGAGAAACGTATAATTGGGAGGGATCGCTCAATGGTAAGTGATCATCCGCTGAACCCATTCACAAACCAAAGTGTGCCGATTGTGAAGAGGATATGCTCATAACAGTGAAAGTGTGTGAACAGTGTCCACTCTGAAGAAAGAACGTGCTCAAGAGCCTTCAGTCTCTTTTTCTACTTGCCCAACCATTTTCTAACTGTCAAGGCTGAAAAGATTCTATGGTTCATTTAGGAAAACTCATGCCTTCTCTTTCTACCAAAGCAGCAACACATCACTAGATACTTCACTAGCTGCGAACTGGCTATCTGATTCTCCAGATAGTTATCTATCAATCCCTGAAAGCTGACCATACAATTGAACCAAGCAGCCTCAAAGGCTGGAGACCAAACAAGCAAACAAACCAAAAAAGCTGCAAATTGTAGATTAACGCTCTCACTACCCATAACTAAGCCTTAGGAGTTTTGCAATGGAGAAAAATGCACCAAAGCTGGGAAATGACCAAGCTACTGGGGATCAGGGAAAAGTGGGTGGAGTCAAGGACATGGGGAACCTAAGCAGGTTGGATTGAGATGCCCCAAAGGCCAGATGTGAGGTTCTAAGCCTGTCCCAACAGCAGTGAGCAAAGCCCAACTTCCCCTTACCTTCCCTCTTACCCTGTTGGTGCATCACACCTTTTCATGCAGTGGTTTGAAGTGTTCCTCCTCCACATCCAATTAAAATCAAAAAGGTCACAAGACAGCAGCCTCAAATCAGATTAATTTATTTCATATTCCTCACAGCCAATTAGTCCAAGATTGATTTACGGTGTGTATGCGTAGGAGACTAATTATTTCCTGAACTCATTTGCAGTACTTGGTACCTATG